GTGTGCCATCTGTCTCCCCAGCTGCACTCCACACTCCTCCTGAGGTCTAGAGAACCTTTCCCGCACACCCTCTGCCTGGGCACCCCCACCCCATCACAGGGGGATGTCACGGTCTCAGTGACAGAGGAGCAGAAGGGTAAGACCCTGGAGTCCAACTACTCATGTTGGAATCTCCGCTCCACCACGTACTACCTGGGTGACTCAAGCAAGTCACCTCACCTCTCCGTGCCTAGAGCTTCCTCATCTGTAAAACGGAGGTGGCAGGGCTTCCCGCCTCCTAGGGCTGCTCTGAGGGTTAGATGTTAGAATACGCAGAGCGCTCAGAACAGAGCCTGCTGCGGAGAGAATGCCGTGTCATGGGAGCTGTTTTATTATCCTTTCCATCACTCTTCAGAAGAGGAGCGGGACAGAGGACTGGTGGAAGGAGGGGCACCTGGAACCATCTCTCCAGAGCGGAGCGACTATTTCCCTGACCTCGTCAAGGCCACGCCACAAGGCAGCCCGTGGCGGGGGCTGGGCCGCCTCACTGCCGTCAGGAAGAATCCTGCCTTGTGCCCTCCTGTGCCCTCAGGGGGAAAAGGGAAATTGGGACTGAGTGTCCCAGGCATGTGGGGGTGGAGATGGTGAAGAAGGTGTCAACAGACCTCTCCCAAGCTGACCCCCAGCTCTGGCTGGGACTGAGGCCAGTTTAAATAGCTTTAGTGGGGCAGTGAGGACTGGCTGGGCCACCTGCTGGAGGGCCGAGGGAGGAGGGGGACCGGGGCTCCAGTGTCACCTTGCAGATGTCAAAGTTGGGGGGGGGGGTGCGCAGGGACCTGGCATGGAACCTCCAGCAGAGAGGGAAAGAGACAGAATATTCTGGGAGCATCGTCTTTGCCTCACCTTCCTTTCCCTTCCACCTTCTTTTTGGCAAGTCTAGGATCCTTCTGAGTGAGTCCCGTCTGCACCGAGGGGTAGGGGTCTGAGGGGTACCAAGGGACCGAGGCGCCACAGTTGCCCACAGCCCCTCACACAGCACATGTAGGGGGCTCGAGTTTAACGCCCCAGCCAGAGTTTGGTCAGCTGCTGGGGAGGTTCGATCCCAGAGTGCCCCCGCCCCCTCAGGTCAGACACCACCTGTGGCCACCCACTTGTCCTCAACGCCCAGCTGAAGTTTCACCTCTGTGAGACCTCCCCCCCCCCCCCCCCCACAGTTTCCCAGGTAGGCTCCCTGTTCCTGGCAGAGAACGGTTCTTCTCATCTCCCTTATGGCCCTTGCTTATAAACATCCACGTCCACACCTTTGCATCCCACTCGCTCCTCTCGACTCTGAGCCCTGAAAGGGCAGGATCATCTTTGTCCCCCAGCCCCTAGCACACGGCCTGGCACGTGGCAGGGAAATGTTCTAGTGGCTGCCAAGCAGATGTCCATGTGCTCAGGGAATGCTGACCTGCTGTGTTATCAGCCAGAGACAACCGGCAAACATCCCTCCCCCAGGTCACACCTTGGCTGCACTTCCCCCTCTGCCCGGCTCTCCCGGCCTTCTATTCTGCACCTTCAGTTCCCGAGAGAAGAAAGCGAGGTGTGTGTAAAGAAAAAGATTTAAAGGATCATGGATGCGCCCCAAAGAACAACACATGCTCTGAAATTGTGCCTGCTTGCTCCACGTTATCCTTGTCCCTGCTCCCCACGGGGTAGGTGACAGAGTTCCAGGTGCTCAGATCTTTAATGATTGCTGTTGTGAGGAAGCTCACACCTCAGACACAGAGCAGCCCCAGCTAGGTCCAGGAGGGGCTCCTTGCAGAAACGAGGCTGGGGGTGGGGCGCCCTGGAGAGACTTTGTGCCTGCACTGAGCACCGTAATCCAGTTATGGGGGGGTCCACAAACTGTGATTCCAATGTGCGGGGTGTGGGAGCCCCGCAAAGGCTGGGCCCAGGACTCTTCCAGACCAAAGAAAGAAGGAGAAAACACGCCAGCCCATTTTTCCCCCTTGCCCCCCGCCGGCGAAGGAGGGGCTCTGCTTCACCCTGTAGTCCTGAAGTGCTCGGCAAAGCACGTCACACCCCACGCGCTCACACGCAGACACACATGCCGCCATGCACACTCACAGGCACATCTGATGATGGGGCCCAGCCCGGGGGTGCACACACGTGTGTATGCAAAACACACACACGCGCACACCCACTCTCGCTCTTTGACTCGCACAAACCATCTGCTCCCTCTGCCGGTGTGTGCTCCCCTTCTAGACACACACAGGCCTCAGACAGACCGGCTCAGAGCACAGCCCTGGAGCCAGGGGCCTGGATTCCAATCCCGGCTCTCCCACTTACCAGCTGGTGACCCCAGGCTAAGTCTTAGCTCCTCTGAGCCTCGGTTTCCATACTTTTTAAGTGGGGGTGCTACTCACAGTACTGTCGGGAGGAATACACGTGTGAAGCAGGAAGGGGCTCAGAGCCGTGCCAGCTGTTAACTTGCTCCTTGGAATTGTTACTGTGATTGTTAGTCTTTTGGCATCGGCATTCTCGGCTCCTGTGGTTCTCTGCACACACGTAGACCCACTACATACTCGACACAGATGCACTGATGTGTGCACCCACATGCATGTGCACACCTATGGACACCCCCACACACCCATGCACACTCGTGAGTTAAGCTGACACAGAGATGCAGACACACAGTCGTGGGAGGTTGACCCGCCTCTCTTCTGTACGCTGTGGGGAAACCAAAACCTGCAACCCCTGACACCCCCTCCAGACACACACAAGCCATTGCTCAGCCACGTCATGGGCAGGACGTGGAGCCAGGGGCCTGGATTCCAGTCCCCTAGGCTGACTGACTCTGCGACAGGCCCGTGCCTGCTCCCCTAAACCTCCCTCCTCACCCTCTTGGCTGGAATTCCCCAACGTGAGGATGACTCCCAGGGCACGGGTGGGAATCTGAAGGTGAGAAAAACCTCCCAGGTGTCTCAGCTCCCTCACCCTGAGGCCCCACTGGCCTACAGTCACTGGGAAGGGAGGGGTGGAGCCCCTAGGCCTCCTGACTTTAATTCTGGGCTTTCTTTCTACCCACAGCACCGCCGTCTGTCTGCCTTCCTAGACTCTGCGCTTCCTGTGGGCACAACCTATTGTGCTTGTGATCTCTGATGCCTCTGGGACCCAGCACAGAGCAGGTGCTCGGTAAGTATGGAATGAAGGGTGCTGAGTGAGTGAATGAATGAATGAATGAGAGGGGAGGGAGGGAGCCCCAAACAGATCTTGACCCTTCTTCTGCTTACCCAGTGCTGGTCCTGGTGGGAACAACGTCCAGGTCAGCAATGCAGTCATGCAAGCTCACAGCTGCCCCAGCTCAGCCTCCAACCCAGGCTGGCTAGGACCTCTCTGGGTGGGGCCCTTAATTTTCCAGAGTCCAGGGCAAGGCCAGGGCACACACTCCTCAGGATCTCAGCTCAGCGGTCCTCTCTTCTAGACATAGGATGAGCCCTGAGTACAGCCCTGCCTGGAGCTTGGAGCTGCCCTTCTCCAGGGCACCTGTGTGCTCACAGGCCCGGCCTCCCAATCTGAGCCCACAGCAGAAGTGGCCCCGGCCCTGCACCTTGACATCTCCCAGAGCCACCTGGGACATGACCCCAACATGAGACGCTCGAGTGGAACGCGGCACAGCCCATGAGCCCTCCAGCATCACCTCCTTGGCTTTTCTCAGCCCCTCTGAGGGAACACGGGCCCCATTCAGCACCCAGGGCAAGAGTTGGCACTGCTTCCTGGATCAGAGGTCAGCTTCTGCCCTGCACAGAGGAGCCACGCCAGGCCAGTGGCCTTCTGCCTATTCGGATACCCCAACCTTATCAGAAGAAAATAACCAAAATACCATGGGACATGCTGTGGACCCCCAACCCAGCCTTGGCGATTCAGCCCCCATCTGGCCCCTCCCTGCCCTTCCAGCCTTGTCCCTCAGTCCTCCCATACAAGAAGATGCCATTGCAGCCTGATTGGTCCACCCCCTTCAGCTGCTCCTTCCTTCATGTCCAGGACTCCTCTACCCGGCTGCTCGTCCCATGCTCTGGCCCCTCTCTCTCATCTTTCTCAAGGGCTTCTTTTCCCCTCATTCCCCCCAGATGTGTTTCCGGGCTCTTCTGTCATCCTTGCCTCTTCCCACCCCACACAGTCCTCTTGGGTGACCTCACTCCTGTGGCTTGCAAGACCCAAAAATCCATATCTCTGGCTGAGATCTCTGTCCTGAGCCTGGATGTCTCCACGTGGACATCCCACAGGCACAGTGAGGTCATTGTGTCCAAATCTGAGCTCTTGCTCCCTTCAAAACCGCTCAGTGACAGCACTGTCACCCACCAGGACACTGGGCATCAGCCAAGACTCCCTCCACTCTGTCACAGCCCCTTTAGACCTCTTGGCTCCATCCACCTTGCCCCACATCCAGAGGCCCCACCCTGGTCCAAGCCACCAGGGCACTCTCCTGCTGGCACCTGCCGTGTGGCCTTTCTGCTTAAAGTTTTATGCCCTTTCAATCCATTTCCACACAGCAGCCAGAGGGATCATTCAAAAGCACCAATGTAATCATGTCGCATCCTGTTTAAAAGCCTTCAGTGGCTCACCAAGCCTTCAGGATCGAGCCCCAACCCCTGAGCTTAGCACCAAGGCCCTCCAGGACCTGCCTCACAGCCTTGTCTGCTGCAGTGTGCAATCGCTGCACTGCTGGAGGACTGCAACCTCCAGGCCTTTGCACACGCTGTCCCCTGGGCCTAGGAGGCCTTTCTCCTTCTTTGTTATGGCTGACACTGCCCCAAGTGCAAGACTCAACTCAGAACTTGGAGGGGGCTTCCTCTGGGAAGCCCTGCCCACCCCACAAGCATGGTTTCAGACTCTTAAACCTGTCTACCTTCATCACAACCTGCAGCTGTTGGGGGCTGGTCGGTAGCCCCCATGGGGCACATGGGGAGCACTCCAGGCCGACAGGCCAGGACTGTGGGCGTCCAGGGGTGGGGAGCGGGGTGCAAGCCCAGCCTTACCTGTCTCTGTGGGCCTGTGGGATCCGACTCTCTCCTTCGAGGGCGGGGTCCCGAGTGCAGGGGCGAGTGGGAGGGGCTGCCGGGTGTTGGGGGCTGTGATGTCTCTGACCTCCCATCGGCCTGGCTCAGCTGGGGAGGGGGGGGCTGGGACGGCGTCTGCCGCAGGTCCTCCTCAGCCAACATCTGCATGCCGCGTCCCCGGGGCCGCACGGCAGGCTCTGCCCCTGGCCGCCTCCGCTCCTCGCCCTCTTCGGGCAGTGGCCGCAGCTCCTCGGGCTCCTCGTCCGTGGTGCCCGACGTGCTGGGCTCAGCCCCCGGGGGGAAGTCCTTGAGCTCCGTCTCCTTGTCGATGATGACCCATTCCTTGCTGTCGAAGTCCTCCTCCTCGGCCAGCGGCACCGACCGGAAGGCGTTGCTCAGGGCCTCCTGCTCCACGGAGGCTGACACGTCCATGCGGCCACTGGCCTGCCGGTCAACGTGGCCCGTGTCCACTGACAGCATCTGAGCTGGCTGCGAGGAGCAGGCCTGGCGTGACGGTGAGCCGGGCAGATCCATTCGTGACCTGCAAAGCCACCCATGTGGGACTCAGTGCCCAGACTCTCTGGGCCCCCCAGGACCCCAAGTAGTTGGCAGGGTGGAGTGTGACGTCTGGAACCTCTGACCACAGCACCTCTCCCACCCTGGGCCCGGCCCAGCCACCTCCTGGGTTGTCACCCTCCAACCCTCCTCCCTGTAAAGATCTCATCCTTTCAACACACATTTTTGAATGCTTACTGTGTTCCAGGAATATAAACACACAGAAAATAAAACCTGGTTCCTGTGCTCAAGGAACACTCTCCTGCAGGCCACCCCAGGGAAAACTTGAATCCTCCTAGAGTCAACTTTATGCCCACAGCCCAGCAGGGGCTCCTTACTGCTGCTTCCAGGGCAAACACACCCACCTGGCCCGAGTTTGCAGATGGTTTTTCTAGCCTCTTCCACCTCCACTCTCTAGGCCTGCCTGACTGGCTTCCCCACCCCAGCAAACTCCAGTGGCTCCCAGCCCTTAGGACACAGTCCACATTCCTTAGTCTGGCACTCCAGGCGGTCAGACAGAGACCCAGTTTCCCTACTCCTCCACCCAGACCCATCTCAGATTCACTTGCTTTTCCCCAAATTGCCCATGCGCTCACACCTCTGTGCCTTTACGCATGCTGCTCCCTCCACACGGCCTGTCCTTCCACTCTCTGCGGTGGTCACTCGGATGTCACCTCCTGCAGGGAACCTTTCCATCCTGCATGGGTTTAGTTTGCCCCCTCAGTGCTCCCTGTGTCCCCCTGTCGTCACAGAGTGGAACACATGTGTGTTGAGGGTTCTGCCTTCCCAGGAGGCTGTGAGCTGGGCCAGGCAGGGCCTGGGTCCCAGCTGACTTTTTACCTCTGGGCGCTGATCCTAGCTGGGGATGTTATCTTAAATTGTGCTGTGAATCTCACTTAGCTTCCAGGGGTTCTCAACTGGGGGTGTTAGCAGCCCCAGGGTGACGGTATTTCTGGTTGGAGGATGCGCCCGAGGAAGAAGTGACCTCTCCCAAATACGAGGGTGCCCCCAATGGGAGACTCAGCTCCACTGCGGCTGTGCACATTCTCACGCCCGAGCTGCGGGCAGGGGCTGACTTTCATTCTCCCCCAGCGTGGAGCCCCTGACAGGGAGGGGTGCAGATCAGAGCCACCTGTGGGGGCTCTCCCACTATACTCCCACCACAGCCTACGTGGGCCCTGCCAATTCTGACTCTACACAATATTTTTATTGGTTTGTTAATAAGGTTTAATAAAAACACGCCTGAGGGAGGCCACCCAGGGTCTTACATTTATACCGCATGTAAATGGCTGACATCACTTGATTCCTGAGAGCTGGTTTGTTTTGATGGACATGAAGGCAGAGGGTGCCAAAGGAACAGAGGGTCTGAAGGTTTGGGGGCGAGGTTGAAGAAGGGGGAGGCGGGAAATCCAAATGCTACATGCTTCATACTTTCTCCTGCTCCCCAGTGCCCCAGAGCCCCCGAGCCCCCGAATCCTCTGCCTCTCCCGAGATCCTGACCTTCCCTTCCACAAAATCTCCCCTCAGCCCCTCCTTTCCCCACCATCCCTGAGACAAGGGGTCACTCTGGGCCACACCAGTTTGCTCTTCAGGACTGTCTGTGTTCTGGACATTTCCCACCTCTCTTCTCCACTCAGATCCCCTCCAAACTGCCCTTCCTGTTTCTCCCTGTTTCCTGAACCCTCTGGGCTACCATGGATGAAAATGTGGGCCCGGTAGTTCAACCCATGTGAGTGTGAGAGTGTGGGTGAGCACTGTCGGCTCCCTGAGGATGGGCCCCCACCCCTCTGTCCTGGGGTCTCCACAGGGACTGGCACAAGGCTGCCCTGTCTCGGGTGTCTCCACACCACAAAGGGGCACTGTTCCCCGTCCTGGAGGTGGAATGTAGTTTGGGGCAGAATCCAGAGGAGGGGCCGTGGCTGAGGTGGGACATGAGGAGGCACACTGTGGGAGTGGAAAAGGACCCCCACCCCTGGGGATGGGCCTTGAGAAGAGACCCCTTTCCTGGTGCAGAGAAGGCCCCAGCCCTGCTGTAGGGTGAAGCCCCACCCAGAGCCAAGGGAGGGTGAAGACATCTCTCAGGGGCTCTCCCACCTGAGGTGGTCGCACCCACTAGACCTCAGGTGAGGATCTGTCCCGGGTCCTAATGGCCATCGGCCATCCAAGGTTAACCAGCCTCCTTTCATCCCCCATCCTAAAGGCTTGCTTTTGGCTCTAGACTCTCCGAGATACCTTCCTACCAACCAGGTCCCACCCAACCTTTAGAGCCCCGACCCCCAAAACTTGATCTGTTCCTTCTTTGAGCTGAGCACTCCCTGAACCCTTCTCCCAGGCTCCTCCCCCGAAGCTGAAGGGAGCCCAGTCAGCTGCTCTGAGGCATCTGTAATGAGTCTCTAGAGAAAGAGGCTCTGGAATCAGCCCACCTTCCAAATCACCCCTCACCTCCTCCAGGGCCTGGGGACCCAGCCTACCCCTCCGCGGCCTGCCCCCGACATGCCTTCTGGCATGAGCTGGACCTCTGCACCCCTAGCCCCTCTCCGGGCCCTGCCACTGACTAACCCAGCCTGACCCCAGGCCCAAGTATAACCCACTCAACACCACAGGGTACCCCTGCCACCACCTCACATCTGACCTTTCCTCCAGACCAGCCATGTGAAGGCAGAGGGGACCAGGGGGCCCTTGACCATCCCCCTGGCCCCAGACCCACCTCCTCTCATGCAGTTCCACCCGCCCATCCGCCGTGGACAGCCTTTCCGACTCAGGGCTGTTGACCCTCCGGTAGCGAAGAGAACGGACTGGGGTTGTGGGTGAGTCTGGCGGGGCACGCACTGGGGAGCTGGGGACCCCCACACCTCGGCTCTGCTCCTCTTCCACCACACAGGGGGTCTGCAGGAGAGGGGAGGTCCATGAGCTGGGACTGACAAGGCGGCTGTGGGTCAAGTGGTTTTCTCAGGGTAAAGGAGATAGAGGGAGGTTGAGGCAAAAAGATGCTAGTGACCCTGAGATGGGGCAAGGCCATGGAGGCAGGGCAAGCAGCTCATGGCTGGGGAGAGGGAGCTTGGAGGGAATGGGAAGGGGGCCAGGGAACCAGGGCCAGGAGCTGGGGAAGGCCACCCACACCGCTCTCCCTGACTGAAGTTACTTTGCCGATGTTGATCCGGAGTTTGTTCCGGTTGACATCCGTCTCCTCCCAGACTTCAGCCTCAGGACCCCCAGGGTGGGGGACAAGATGGGGGCCAGGGCCCAGCCCCTCCGGGGGCCGCCCAGGCAGGATTGGGGGTGCGTTCTCCTGGTCACTCAGGTGCTCGCCCTGCAGCACGTCCTCGGTGTTCTCCCGGAGCAGGTCCCCGGGCACCGGCGTCACATTGACCACCCTGGAGAGATCAGGAAGGGGCCATGGGGCAAGGCTGGCAGGGGTACCCTCTTCTACCAGCACAGGCCCCGGAGATCACTACTTCCCATGGGAGTGGACACAGGTGAGGCCCAGCAGGGGTGGGGTGTCCCTAGCCTGTCACCATCCCTGGCTGGCAAAGCCTCTGAGACCAGCCCATCCTCAGGTTGGCAGAGGGCTGCAAGGAGACGTGGCTGCCGGAATGGGCATGGCACCACCCGGCTCTGTCTATTTAGGAGGTCCCGCCGCTTCCCAGGCCCGCCGGAGCTCCACGCAGTGCACCGCTGGCTTCCTTCAGACCAGCAATGGGTCTAAAGAGAAGACTCTCTCTGGAGTTCCCTGACCAATGTCATCACAGCACTGGGCACCATAATGTGCCGGCAAGTCCCATTGAGTCTCCCTCCTAAGTGTGTACCTGGAGCCCCTGCCCACATCTCTCCCTGGCTCATTCGTGGGGCTGGCTGGGCAGCCCCTGCTCACTCTGGCCCCTGCCTGGGCCACCTCTGTCTTTGTGCCTGTCACATGGTTCTGAAATTGCTGACCCATCAATTACAAATATCTCAGACTCAACTGAGAGCACTTGGAGGGCAGGGGCTGCAAGTGTTTTCTCGGAGCCCCCACAGGGCCCAGCGCTGGAGCTCAAGACACGTTCACTGAGTGAATGCACATGAGCACTGAGACACAGGCAAACTGCGGGGCTCAGGGGATTTCCCCCAGGGCTCCCTGCTTCCCAGGAAGGTCAAAAACTCCAAATGAGGATGCCCGTTCTGTCCCCAGATTGAGGGTGGAGACGTGGCAGAACTTCCTGTGGTTCAAGAACCCCACTGGTGAGCACCAAGAACAGGAGAGACAGCCAGGAGTGCCCAGGTAGGAAGAGGAGGAAAGAGCTGGCTTCTGGGGAGACAGCTCCGGGCAGCCCCTACCCCGTGTCGCCCCTCCTGAGACTCACCCAAACATGGCTGCCGTCTGCCGGGTGTTCTGCTGGGGTGGGGTGGAGGTGCTTGTGGACAGGAGGGTGTCGGTGCCCGCCTTCTCCCAGTCAAAGGCCTCGTTCTCGGCGATGCCCCGCTCCTTCATGCTGTTCTCAAACACCGACATGATCAACTGCAGTGGGTGGGGGTGGCGGGAGGACAGAGAGGTGACCCTGGGGCTAGCTAGGAGGAGGGGGAAGTTGCTGGGATTGCTGGGGTAAGAGAGGGGCCTTCCAGGACAGGGATGGGCTGAGAGGGGGCATTGGAAGGAGAGCAGCACATTGATTTTAAATGAAAACATGCACACGATACACAAATCAGCATGCAAATTATCATCTCGGTTTAAGCCCCCCTGGCTGGACACAAGCCCTCTGAGATCTGAGCCCTGGTTACCATCCCAGCCTCCTCTGCCACTGCCACCATCTCACCAGAAGTAGCAGCAGCCCAGAACCACCAGCGGTTTCCCAAGCCCATCCCCTGGGGTCGGCCTCTGCACAGGCCGCCTCCTCTGCCTGCAGTGCCTTCCCCGCTCGTCCTCCCTCTGAAGCCACCTGATTCGCCCACTCACACAGCTCCCGTGGTTGGGCACAGAGCATCAGTTTGAACTGTTCACATGCCAATCTGCCAACTCTACATCTCTGGCAGTCAGCACAGGGCTCAGCACAGGGGGTGCTTGCAGCTGTGTGGTCTGGAGGACCCCATGAGGCTGAGCTAGGACTGGGGGGCATGGCCTCTTACTCCCCAAAGGAGGCATTTCTGCCAAGAACTGGGGCTCTGGGTTCAGGAGGTGGCGGGCAGTTGTGGACCCTCTGAGGCCCCCAGACCATCCCCTTCTGACTTAGCTCTCTCCAGAAGGCAGGGCAGCTTCTGTCTGCCGGCAGGACCCACTTCACTGAGTGCCCACTGTGTGCCTGACACTGTCTGCCCTCCCCGCCATGTGCAGCCGGGCACATAGTGGATCCTGGGCAGAACAATGCTGACGCTTCCCCATTCTCTGACCTGGGTCATGGGTCTCATGGGGTAATGGTGCCTTAGAAAGAGCACTGGTCTTGGAATCAGAAGATGTGTCTGGGGCCGCCCTGCTCCTAACCATTGCTATCAGGCCTCAGTTTCCTCATCTATGAAATGGGGACAATCATCCCACTTGGCCTCCTGCAGAGTTTTGATGCAAAATACTTGAAAGCACTCAGATTCATTCATTGTTAAGTGCTAGAATAATAACGTATGGAACGCGCATTATCATCAAAGGCTTGTTTTGAAACTTAAATGAGTTAATGCATGAAAAGCACTGAGAACTGGTAAACTCTTGATAAATCTTGGCTATGACTACTGTATACACGAGCGCAGAAGAGTTTCATGCAGGGGATGACCAGGGAGAGACGCTCAGGGCCAAGCCGGCAAGGGCGCGGGGCCACGGCAGGAAGGGGGCTGTAGAGACGGTCACCCACAGAGGTGTCCAGGGAGGCAGGGGCAGGGTGGCAGCCTCCCACCTGGTAGTCGGGCTTGGTGAAGTAGTCGAGGCTGGCGATGTGGTCCAGGAAGAGGTGGAACTCGGAGGGCATGTGCTTCAGCAGCATCCGGTGCTCGTACTTCTCCTTGATCATGCCTACCTGCTCCTGGAGGCAAGAGGGCACAGGGAGATGGAGCCCCAGCTGCCCCACTCCCCCTCCTCCTCAGACCCACCGCACAGGGCTCACCTTGTCCTTGATCTTCCTCCAAGGCAGCTGGCCCACTGCAAACTCCACCAGCATGTAGAAGAGGGACCACAGGTCATCGTGGCGGCCCATCTCCTGGGGGGTGGGGAGGCGGTCACCCACACTCTCAGATCCCTCCTGGGAGTGGGGCGCTGACCCTCCACTGAGGCACATCAGTCAGGGAGCCCTGACACCCAGGCCCCTATGGGCAGAGCTGGGGTCTCCCTGAAGCTATGGCTCCATCCCTGACCCACCCACATACATAGACCCCCCACAGTCAAAACTTCTGTCTGCGCTTCCTCGCCCCACAGAGATTTGTGGTGGGAACAGAGAAGTGGGGATCCCATCAAACGAGGAAGAAGGTGAAGTCAAGGGGAGATGACAGCAGAGCCTTCTTCCAGTCAGGGTCTGGAGTGGCAGCTTCCAGCCCCTGCCCCAGACTTTTCTCCGCACCTCGATAGCTGCCTGCCTGACCCTCTTCCTCAGCAGCATACTCTGCCCCGCCCTGTGCCCCTACTGCCCCCACATCCCTCAGGCCCGGCTCTGCCACTCACCCGGTTCTTGTGGGCATTGACCGAGGCATAGCGAACAGTCCCTCGAAACCCGGCCACATTCCGAGGCTGTAGAGGGGAGAACACCACCAGGAACCTCGCCCGCTGCCCCTGACCTTCGCCCCGTCTCAACCCTGCTTACCAAGCCTACCTCTGCCTGCTTTAGCCCTGATTGCCAGCCCCTGCCACGCCCCTCCACATTGGCCTGATCAGGAGCAAGCCTGACACACTGACCCCAGCCCTACACCTGCCTCCTGACCCTGCTCCCTGAACCTGCATCCATCCTTGACCAGAACAGGTAAACAGGTCACAGGCTGTGCACGGAGCATCCACCAAGAGCCCAGCCTAAGGGAGGGAGGGGACCAGCTCAGTGTGGACCCAGAGTCAGGTGACGCTGATACTGCACACAGGCTGTGACAGCTTAAGCAGCTGCAGGAAAAGCCTGGTGAAGGGTCCCCAGATCAGGGAGCAGGTCAAGGAGGTCAGGGGTCCCTGCAAGTGGCAGTACTCACGGGCCGGACATCCCCCGTGGTGTTGGTGTACTGCCGGGCCAGCCCGAAGTCCAACATGTAGCACTTTCTGTAGGTGGAGGGCAGCCTGCCCATGGCAAAGTTCGACTGTGGGAAGACGGCAGCTGTGAGCCCCGGGGCTCCACTCCACCTGGCCCACCTCGGGGGGCGGCAACAGCAGCTCTGGTGAGGGACCCTCAGCCCACCTCCACGCACATAAGTAAAACATCAACACGCGCAGCAGGTCACAGTTCCTCATCTGAGGGGCAGGGTGATTATTCTCATTTTAGAGATGAGGAAACTGAAGGGCAAAGAGCTTAGGGGGCTTCTCCAAGGTCACAGAGCAGTGCTGTCCCAGCCAGGGTTGAACCGACATCTGTCCGGCTCTAAATCCTTGAAACTCCCCAGAAGGGCAGCATGGCTTAGTGTGACCATCCTGCTCAGAGGCAGCCGGAGCCCTGCATTGTTCTTCCTGTGTGACCTTGGGCCATTCAACCAACCTTTCTGGGCTCAGTTTTCACTGCTTTAAATTGGAGGTTTTTTACACCATCAAGATCTAAGATGCCACAAAATCAACTACTTGGAATTCCTTACTGAGCCCCAGTCCCTTGGTCCCCTTCCCTCGATCCCTCCATCCTTCTGAGCCCCTTCACCTTTCTGGGTTCAAGGACTCTTCAGGCCAGGGGTGAGAGAGAGGATGAGGAGAGAAGAACAGAGAGGGCCTGGGCATGGCCAAGGGGCGGGCAGGGGGTCTCCTGGGATGCAGGGAAAAGGAGGAGATGGGGCTTGGGATGGAGAGCAGGAAGAGGAGACAGGTAGAAGAGGCTTTCCCCTCTCCAACTACTGATCTGGAGAAGACACCAGGGGACCCAGAGACGGAGAGGACGGGGGCATCTGCTTTGGAGGAGGGGGCAGTCCTCACCGGCTTGATGTCTCGGTGCAGGAAGCCCACGGAGTGGATGGCTTCAATGGACTCCAGGATCTGCTTGCCCAGCCGCAGCGTGGTGCTCAGCGTGAAGGTGCCTCGCGGCTGGCTGCGACGCAGGTCGGCCAGGTTCCGGCCCTGGGGTGGGGGGCGGGTGGGAGCCACCCGGCTCAGCTGCCATCCCAACCACCACCATGACACTCTGCCCAGCCTCACCCCCAAAGGCCTGCACCGACTCCCCACCCCTCCCGGAACCACAGTCTTCCCTCCCCACTCCCCACCCCAAGAGTCACAGCCCGAACTTTTGAGGGCAAGTGGAGGGAGGATGGGCCGTGAGGACTCACCTGGAGCTGCATCACTACATAGTTAAACTTCTCGTTCCGGCCACAGCCGATGAACCTGCACACATGGTCTTTCCCTGAGGGGCACACACAGGGGTTTCCCAACTCCTACTCCTTCTTTCTGACTTCCAGCCCTAAGGTGGGCTCCTGCGCACTCTTGAATCCTGGTCCTCCCAGTCCTGGCCCCATGATCACTTCTCCCACCACCCCCTGCCCTTAGCCCCATCACTGCTCTTAGACTCTGGTCCCATCTCACCCTGCCCATCACCTCCCCCCTTAGCCCCTGGCTCCATCACCGCTTCCCTCCACCACACTACATCTCCTCCCCACAGCTTCTTTCCCATCACCTCTTCCGTCCCATTCTCCTGCCCTAGGCCCGCACCTTGCAGCTTTTTGAGCACGGCCACCTCCATCTTGAGGACCTGCTTGGGCTGCTGGGCTGACTCCACTTTGAGGGCCACGTTCTCCCTGGTCAGCAGGTCCATGGCCTCGTAGATCTCACCAAAGCCCCCGCCCCCGATCTTTTTCAGCTACAGAGATGGGGGGAGGAGAATAGGGGACACAGGGGTCAGGCTGAGCAGCTCCTCATCCCACCCATTGCTGGGTCCTATCCTTCATTGATGGGGGCAGTGGCTATCCTTGAAGAGGAGGACCCCATGCCTCCCTTCCTTGCCCCACCCACCAGTGCCCCAACCTCCTCTCCTAGTGCTGGACACAGACCGCTCAGCCCCTGGGTGGACAACCATACACACACACACACACACACACACACACACACACACAGAGCCAGACGTCAGAGCAGGCACAGGGGAGGGGTATGAGACCTGTGTCTCCATATAGACATGGGATTCTGAAGAGATGATGGGCTGTCATGAACCTTTTATTCTCTGGAAGAACAATAAATGTCACACTCCTCCCGTCCCCTGACTAGACTGAGCAACCTCCATCCAGAAGAAAAACTAATTTCCAGAACCTCCCAGCTTCAGGGTGGATCCCTCAGGGAACCTGGCCCTTCCTGCAGTTGGCAGTCTCCTGAAAGGTGTCACCAGAGAGAAAGAGTATTTCGGGGGGAGTATTTAGGGGACTCGGCACAGGGTGTTCACTGCCCGTGCCCGCTGCTGAAGCTCACAACACTCCCTAGGGGCCCGCAGCTCAGATGCTCGAAACCAGAGTGAGCCTCTCTCCGGGCAGGGGGCGCTGTGGGAGCCCGCTGGGAATGGGGGTTTGGAGAGACTCTGTCCACTCCCAGGGGGCAGTGCAGAGGTGATCTGACCCTCTGGGCCCTCCTCCAGCATCCAGGGCCGGCAGTGAGAAGGCAGAGGGGAAAACTATGATGGAGGAAGCATCGGCAAGGGGAGATGAGCAAAGCTGAGTTATGGGGAGGGATTCAAAATCATTTCAAGTCAGAGGCGCAGGGGTCTTGGAGAGAAAGGGTGCTGCCGGCAACGAGGGGGTGACCAGCGGGAAGGCGCTGAGCCCTCAGTTGGGACTCGTTTGGTTTAAGAAAGATGCGCAGCTCAATTGTCACCTCCTCGGGGATCCCGCCCCTCAGGAGTGGCCTGTCCTCTCTCAGCATCTTCCAGAGCTCTCACTTGCATCCTGTTGGTTTGTAACTCGCCAGCCACAGCTGGGCTTGCTAATGATTGGATCCAGGCTGCTCTGATCAGCCAGCCTGTAAACTCCTGACTCTGAGCCTCCTGCGTCTCCAAGCCCTCCCCTTAGTATTTGTTCAGCACTAGGATGCCCAATAAATGTTTAATGGTGGTTGAAACATGGGCATGGAGGGAGGAAGGGGGCAGGGCAGAGCTGAGGACTGGAAGTTCCCAGCAGGTTACAATTGAAACCATTCTAGAAAGAGAGAGAAGGATGAAGGGAAGATTTAGAAGAGAAGTGGAAGGCTGGTTGGGATCTTGAAGGTTCTTGTGCCCAGAAAGGAGACAGGGAAAGAGGAGGGAGGAAGAACGGGGAAAAACCAGAGTCCCTCTCGACTTGAGACGAAAGCTAAGGTCAGACGTCTAGAAAAAATTTCAGAACCAGGAGGGAACAGACAGACTCAAAGGAAGCAGTGGCATGTCTTCCTCTGGGGACCTTTCAACCCAAGGGAGATTCTAGTATCTTCCAGATTCCTTTATGGTTTGCTGTGTGGGAGCATGGAAGAAAGGGCAGGGGAGAGGGAACAACAACCACATCTCGGGTCCGTGCTCCAGACTCTCAGACATCCTCTCAGCTCATCCCCAAAGGCTCCTGACAACACAGGCGAGGAGGGCCATAGGGCTTGCCATTTTGCACAGAAGGAAGGCTAAGGCACAGAGAGTTAAGAACCTGGCTCCAGGTCACCCTGCGAGCAAGGAGCAAAGCCAGGTTTCATTTAAACCCAGGCCATCTGATGCAGAGACCACGCTGTTAACCACTATGTTCTAGGAACAGTTCACCACACTGGGATTAAAAGTGGGAGGGCTGAGCTTCAAGCCCAGGTCCGCTAGGCTCCAAAATCCTGACTAGAGATGGTGAGGAGGGCTCGGGGCGGCCAAGACATTTCTGACATCTACTCCCCAATTCCCCAGGGTGTCCAAGGGTATTTCTCTACCACATTCATTTCTGAACAGAGACTATTTCTCCTTCCTACGTCCCCTCCTTACCCCCCACCCATTACGGAACCTCCCTGGGGTGGGAAGCGGGCATCTGCACCCACCCGCTCACCCAACACCCCTCCTCCCCACGCCCTCCAGCCTGGGTGGGCTTATCCATCAGGCACAGTGGCTAGGCCCATAATGATATTTTTAGGGGGCCATGAAAATGTTCTCATTTCTTTTAAAATCAGAAGGGAAAAAATAAACTTTTAGGTCAAAAAGAAAATTTTAATACATAATATTAATTCATTCCTCTTTATACCAATGAAGTCATAAAACACCATTTTTAGTACTTTATTATGGAGGAAGGGACCCACGAAGGCAAAAGTGCCCAGGGCCCATGAAAGTCACAATGCCGCCCTATCCACAGCCCCGTGACAGGAACATTCTCTCAACCTCCCCTTTGCCAGACCCTATTCCTCCCCTCCTAAATTTTTTCACCATCCCCTCCCCTACTGAAGGACCTCCCTAAACTGGAGGAGAAATACGACACAATAGGACCAGCATTCACTTAGGAAGAAGGAAACCTGGCTTCTCGGCCCAGCTCTGGGTGACCTGGGGCAAGTTTCTTAAATTCTCTGAGCCTCCATTTTTCCTGCTGTGTAAAATGAGACAGGTGGACTAGAACTGGTCACAAAGACTCCTCAGCATTATGGTCCTGATTCTTGGATGGACTAATCCTTGGGAAGCAGTATAGCCTTGTGACCATTGACCCAGTAGTCGGACAGACCTGGTTCCAAGTACCAGTCAGAATCAGAACAGTAAACAATAATCTCTGTGCCTCAGTTTCCACATCTGCCAAACAGCGATAACAGCAGCATCTACTCCGTAGGTTGTTGAGATAATTCATTTAAGGCATTTTGCACAGTGCCTGGCAACAGTAAGTGCTCAGAAAAGATGCTCAGTTTCTATTATTATTATTATTATTATTATTGTTTGCTATTCTGATTCTGAGAAGCACCCCTCAAAAAGAATAAAATGTGATTATTATTTTTTATTTTTAAAGATTGGCACCTGAGCTAACAACTGTAGCCAATCTTCTTTTTTTTTTTCCTGCTTTTTTCTCCCCAAATCCCCCCAGTACATAGTTGTATGTTTTAGTTGTCGGTCCTTCTAGTTGTGGTATGTGGGACGCCGCCTCAACATGGCCTAACGAGCGGGTGTCACGTCCGCGCCCAGGATCCAAACCCGGGGCCACTGAAGCAGGGCACACGAAGTTAGCCACTCGGCCATGGGGCCAGCCCAAAATGTTATTATTTTTAAATACCCACCCACCGCCACAACCCTCATTCTCTCCTGGCCACAGCCCATCTCTGGGCAGCTTGTTCTTGGTTCCTGAGCTCTGCTCACATCTCTGTCCCACCCCGGGGAGCTGGCTGAGGGGAGGCATCTGACACCCCACCCTCTCTAGTTCTCCAGGGGCTGGGGAGGGAGTGAGAGTAAAGGGAGGTCAGCCTGGCAAAGACCGCAGGCTTGTCCCCTTCCCCCACCCCCTTCGCCATTTCTCTGCCCACTCACCTCCCACCCGTCCCTCAACAAGCACAGGAAAGTTCTAACCCAAACTCAGCATGTGTACGAACACCACCTTTTCCTCACATCTTCAGTGCAAATGTCCTTCTCTTGTGCCAGAGGACCCAGGGGGTCTTGAGGAACACGCCTCACTTTGTCAGACCCTCATTCTTTTGATTACTGCCCTGGCTCCTCCTCCCCCAATTTCTGTCCCCTTACCCTCCCTCTCAGGAAGTCCTCCTCCAGGGCCTTCCCTGAGCTCCCTGACCCCTCCAATCCCTCACTTCCCCCTAGTCCCAGAGACATCTCTGACGACGCTGTCACCTTTGCCCCTCTCCCTGGGCCACTAGAGGACCTGCGTGCTGGCTGGTTGTTGCCATGGAGACCCATTTGAGCCCAGGCCCCGCTCTCCTCTCAACGCACACCCCTGGTGAGATGAGCCGTCCCCCTAGACCGCCCCACACACAAGGGCTCGGTGTAGACCTGACCTATGCTGTTTTCCCTCCCTTCCTCCTGGCTCCCCACCCTGGTGCAGACCCACAAGCTCACACACACTATCACCCCACAATCCACCCCACATCTTCCCACCCCTAAAATGATAAAAGGACGAGAGTGCTCTTAAGCAACGGACCAAAATGGAAGTGGGACAGGGATTGACTTAACAGTAGATCCAGCCCTGCAAACACTGCTTCTCCCTCAACCCTCACATGTCCCCCTCCCATCCAGGCCCGAACCCCCAGGAAGCTCAGACTACAACTCCCAGCAGGCGGAGAAGCCTGAAGTCCTGAGCTGGAGGAGCAAGGCACGCTGGGAGATGGAGTCTCGGCATGTTGCACCTGCCGCAGGAACCAGAGAGGGGAGGAGGATGGATGGAGAAGATGGAGTGCGGATGCGGTGGGAGCAGTCCGCAGAGCATCCTTCCCCGAACCCAAGCCTTTCTGTCCTCTGCGGAAGCGGAGGGACACATGCTCACTCACTGCCCTTCTCCAAGGTCCGGCAGAGAAAGAACTCCCTCCTCCACCCCCGCCCTCCTCCCCCCACTGAGCTCTGCAGCTCCTGCTCCGACATCCAACCAGGAGTTGTTCCAGGCTGGGCCCGACCAACGTGACCTAGCGGGGAAAGGGGTGAGAGAGGGAGGGGTTGGAGAGAAGGCACTGGGAGAAAGCGATTGTCCACAAGTGTAGGCAAAAATAATGACCTGCAAGCAGTATGCAAATAAGCTCAGGGGCACCTCCCTCTTAGAGTAGGGGCGCTGAGGGCACCTGTTTTCACAAGTCTCCAGATCCTCTCCAGATGCTCTCCTCTCCTCCTCCCCCCGCCCCTCCCTCTACCCCGCTGGATCACTCACTCACCACCTTCCAGCGATCCTTGACCACGTAGTTGGCCGGCAGGATGTCGGCCTGCTCCCCTCCCCCACTCATGTTGGTTTCGTCCTTAAGAGCGGCTGCTAGGCACTGCATCCGCCAGCCGGAGGGAGGGGTGTCCGCAGGGCCTGCCCTGGGAGGGCCATCTACCTGGGGGAGTGGGAAGGGACTCTGAGTGGAGCAGGCTACGGACCTAGGACCACCTTGCGGATATGGAGGAGGGGAGCTCCGTTCTCCTGGCAGGCATCCTTCCCCGGCCCACTGGGCAGATGCTCCAGGGCTTACTGGGGGAAGCAGTGTGTAAACGCCAAGGTGGAGGTCAGAGGAGAAGACAGAAATACTAACCACAAGAATGGAGATGCAGACTACAAACTGGAGATGTGAAAACCAGCAACAGGACACACATGTTGATGAAAAACAGAGAGGAAAATGATGGTGAACAGGCTGTGGGGAAAGCGTTTCCCAAAGAGCCATATGCTATAATGTAGGGGAGACTTGCTGACCAAGGGGGCATACCAGACTCGGACCCATGCTTGGGTAGGGGGGACCTGGGCCAAGAGGGACCAGTCTGAATGACTCGATCTGTGGCCCCGCAAACCCACACCTTCCCTGTGCCACAAAATGCCCATGGAGCTGTGCATCTGAGGTTTATTGAAAGGGGAGACCCGCTGACCAAGGGGTGACCCATGGGAGACGCATGCCAAAGTGATGGAGACCTGCTAATCAACCATGGGAGATGTGATAATCGGAAAATGAGGAGATACCCAACAGCCCCTTGAGAATGGTGCTAAGCGAGGAGGATGCAGCTGCTGAGAGGCACACACCATTCTCAGGGCTGAGCCCAACCCACTGACACAGCCATGGGGTTGGGAAATGAGGATATGAGTGATGGGGTGAACATAAGGCAATGGGCTCAAAACATGGATTTTAGAGGGAAGATAGCCCTGTGGCCACTCTGAGGGAGAGAGGCGGGCTGAATTAGGGGGAGTTGCAGACAGCAGGAAAGTGGGAGTGGCCTAGCAGAAGGCCGGAGAAGTGACAGAGGGCAGCCGGTCTGGGCGGGCATGGACTGAGACAGCCTCTGACCACAGCTTTCTGTGTATGCTGAAGAACCAACAAGAAGGAGCACAGCTCTTATCATATTAGGACAGGTAGAAGTTGGATATCAGAGAGAGTTTCCCCACTGTGAGGGTTGGAGAGCCAGCAAGTGTTACCCAGGGAGATGTAAGGGTGTGCACTGTGTGTGTCCGTGTGTGTATCTGTGCACGTGTCCCTCCGTGTACATATAGGTCTTTGTGTGTCTTTCTGTGTGTGTCTGTTTGCGTCTGTGTGTGCTTGTGTGTGTTTTTGTGTCTGTGTATGATGTGCATGTGTGTGGACAGGAGGCCAGGAGAGACGATGTTTTGAGATCTCTGCCAATCCAGTACAGGATTGGAACTAGGATCTTGTCTTCTCTTCTTTTACCCTACACTTTTTATAAGCGCACTGCTCTGCCCTTACAATGACCCCGGAGAGCTGCAGATGGAAGGAAGTTACTCAGGCTGGGTGTGGGGGAGGTGGAGAGCAGGAAAGTGCCTAAGGTATCTATGGATGGCGTGGGCACTCCATGGACCTGTCTTGCCTTGGGATGAGATAATTCCCCAGGGTGCCTGTGTCTAGCCACAATACAGGGGACAGTGTGGGATGGTAAAGGTGTGGCAACAACCTTCAACAGGTCGTGGTGTGCCATGAAGGCCATGTAGAGAGGGGATCTTCATGGGGAGGGACACTGTCACTTTTTTTCGTCTTTCTTCAGATGACTCAGCTGACTTTCCTCCAAACCACACAGCATCAGAGGATCGGAACCAGGAGGGTGTCAGCCAGGTCTCTGCCCTCCTTCTGCCAAAGTGGCGCAGGGGGCGTCAACTCAGAGGGCAGCGAGGGCAAGGGCAGGGTGAAGGGAGAGACGAAGGGAGAGAGGGACAGGGGGTCCTGGAGTCAAGGCGGAGGAGACAGGTTGACGACAAGACTGAAGAAGCAATTGAACCAGGAGAGAGGGAGTCTTAAGGAGTTGAACTGGGGGACCTCTGGTGGGCCTTCCAGTCCTGTGATGGTAGATTCTATAGGTTAATGAGGAAAATTTGGGCCCTGCTCCCATTTTATAGATGGGCAAACCTGGAAGGAACAGGTGAGCTGAGAAAAGGGAGAGTGGAGGCAGGAGGATGACGAACCTCTCCCTATCCACTGTCCTTCCCGCTCTGCCTCCGAGGACTGCGCTTAGCTCAGACCAGGGTTGGACGACAGAAACACAAAGATTTTGGCTGTCCCCTGAGGACCCTTTGGGTGTGTGGAGGCTTGAGAGCGTAGAGGGAGAGGGCTTGTGGAGGAGGCTTTTATGAAAATCTGTCAGAGAGTGTGCATATATGTGAGTGTGGGGCTAATATGTGTGTGTGTGTGTGTGTGAAAGAAAGAGAGAGAAAAGGGAGACAGAGAGAGACGTATCTAAGTGGTTAGGAGCTCATCATGGTGTGTGAATGTAGGTGTTGATGTGTAACTATGCAAGGTGTGAGCCAGGTGTGTGTGGAAATCTGGGAGCCCAGGTAAGGAGAGGTGATGTGACCAGTGAGGGGTAATGGGAACAGGTGAAAAGAGGTATGGAGGGGGGCAGAGGGGAATGGAAAGGTCAAGGGATGACAGGATCAGAGGAGGGGGCTGAGTAAGATAGAGACAGAGAGATCATGGTGACAGGTGAGGAAGTGACATGACCACAAGAGGGGTTTCTGGGTGACAGTTGAAGGGGTGAGGAAGTAGGTAAGGTGGCTCGTGGGAGGAATGGAGGGACTGAGGACAAGGGAGAGAGGCTATGGAGCCAGCTGAGAGCGACTTGTCAGGGGTGACAGGAGAATGAAGCCATAGGGACAGGGGACAGAGGTGAGAAGTGAGGAGCAAACCCCCTGGAGGACAGGTTGGAGAGGGTGGGTATGTGTGCTAGGGGGCAGGGAGCGGTTCCAGGCCTCGGGATGCGGCCCAGGCTGTGTAGGCCAGCGTCCCAGCTCGGGCGGAGACGGCACAGGGAGGGGGAGCTGGAGAAGGCTGCGCTGGGAGGTGAGCCAGGCCCGGGCGGGATGAGCCCACAGGAGGAACCCCCTCCCGGACCCCCGCTCGGCCCGCCGGCCGGCCCCGCCCCGCCTCACCTGCTCTGTGCCCGCTGCGGCTGCGGCTGCGGCGGCGGAGGCAGCGGCTCTGGGCGGCGCATCCCCCGGGGCCGGGGCGGGGCGGGGGCGGGGGTGGCTCAGTGCGGCGCTAGGCGGCCCGCTCCCTCCGGCGGCAGCGGCGGCGGCGGCAGCCTCCCGACCGGGACCATCCCGGCCCGGCCCGGCCCGGCCCCGATCCTCCTCTGGTGACGGCGGTGGCAGCGGCAGAGCGGGGAGCTGCCCACAATGCACTGCGCCGCCAGCATCAGCACCAGCCCTGACATCACCGCTCCACCGCCCCGGCTCTTACATCACCGCCCTTTCTCTGACATCACATTCTACTCTACTCCCTTCTCTACTCCTGCAGCCCTAAGGCTCTCTCTCGGATGATCCTGCTCTCCTCACTGGTTTCTGCATTCCCTTGACCCCCATCCCTCAGCAGGGCCCCATTATTCCTTACCTGTCCCTGTAAACCTCACCTGTCTCTATCACCCTTTATTGTCTCCACTCCCAGCATGTCCCTGTCCCTCCTCACCTGTCCCCATCAGCCTCAACTGATTCCCCCACTCCATCCTCCATATACGTTCATCTGACTTTCTTCTAAACTCATTTCCCCTCACCTGCACCAATCCTCCCCTATGTCCCCACCCCCGTTTCTTGTAACACCATCTCTCACCTATGATGCTCACTTCACCACATATACGCCTTACCTCCTCTATCAACCTGGCCCTCTCTTTCTTTGGCCCTTCCTCCTATCTGTTGACAAAGTCTCTCATCGTTTCTTAATGATTACCAAATAAAATGCACACTCCACTGTGACATTAAAAGGTCTTCCCAACATGGGTGATAATACCATATAGAGGCTCCCACTACTCTTCTGACAAGTTAGATTACTCAGCATTCCCCAAACATACTTTCCACTTTGTCTCTCTCAGGTCCTTCCTTTCATCCTTCATGCCTGCAGCAAATGCATACTGAGCACCTTCAATAACAACAACAATAATAATAACAGCAGCAACTATTTACTCCTGCCAGACACTGTTCTAACTTTACACATATTAACTCACTTCATCCTCATAACAACTCTGTGGGGTAGCAGTACTGTGTTGTACCCATTTTATAGACGAGGAAACTAAGACACAGAGAGGTTGAATAATTTTTCCTAGATTACACAGCTAGCAAGTGGCAGAGCTGGGATTCAACCCCTGGCTTCAGAATCCACGTTCCTAACTACTCTGCTTGGGGGAGTGATATTTGAGTCTCCAAGAGCAGTAAAAGGAGGCTTCTCAGAGGAAGTGCATTCAACTGTGACTGGAAGTATTAGAAGGAGTTTTCCAACAGACAAGTGAAGCCAAGGCCAAGGGTGGGAGAGACTTCCAGGCTGAGAAGACAGCATGAGGTGAGCTGGGAATGGGCATGTGCAAGATGATGAAGGGCCTTGTGGGCAATGCTAGGAAGATTGGATTTTCTCCACTTAGTTTTTGGAAGCGTAGTGGATAGTGTGGTGAGCCATCCAGATCCCCTTCGGAATCTGGAAACTCATTCCCCCAGCTTCCTGGGGTGCTGAAGACTGACTGCTCTCAGCTGACTCTCTCTCTGGGAGTTACCCTTGGCCAACAGAGCTGCCTCACCCAAGATCACGCACCCTTCCTGGGGCATCCCATATCCAAATGATGATCAACCTTGGAGTACAAAGGTCTGGCCCCCTCACCCCAATTTGGGGCAGATCTGAAGGGACTTCCCATTTTCAAAACTCCTGATAGGGTCAACTGAGGCTTCTGTTGAGACTGTATCAAAGTCCAACTTTCCCTCTGCCCAATTCTCTTTCTTCACTCCTCCACACATGTTGATCCCCAGCGCACTTCCCAGTAAACCTACTAACTTACTGCGCAGTAATCTCTGTCTCAGAGTCAGCGGTCAGGGGAATCGGACTTTTAGACAGGAAATCACTGAAGAATTTTCTTTTTTCTTCTTCTTTTTTTTTTTTTTTTTTTGAGGAAGATTAGCCCTGAGTTAACATCTGCTGCCAGCCCTCCTCTTTTTTGCTGAGGAAGACTGGCCCTGAGCTAACATCTATGCCCATCTTCCTCCATTTTATATGTGGGACGCCCACCACATCATGGCTTGCCAAGTGTTGCCATGTCCACACCCAGGATCTGAACCAGTGAACCCCAGACTGCTGAAGTGGAACATGCAAACTTAACCGCTGTGCCACCGGGCAGCCCACACTGAAGAATTTTGAGCAGAGATAAGATACAATCTGATCTGAGTATTGGGTTAGAATTCTAGGTTGACAATTTTTTTTTCCAGTACTTTAAAAATCTTGCTCCACTGTCTTCTACCTCACAGTGTTTCTGGATTTATCTGCAATTATCCTTATCTTTGTTTCTCTGTATGTAATGTCTTTTACTCTTCTGGCTACTTTTAAGATTTTCTCTTTATCATTGATTTTAAGCTATTTGATTACGATGGAACTTGGTGTAGTTTTATTCATGTTTCTTGTGCTTTGGGTTTGTTGAGCTTCTGGTATCTGTGGATTTATACTTTTCGTCAAGTTTGGAAAATTTTGGCCATTATTTTCTCAAATATTTTTTCTGCCCTCCCCTTTCCTTCAGGAACTCCAGTTACCCTGTATATTGTCTCACAGCTCACTGATGTTTTGTTCATTTTTTTCCCAGTCTTTTTCTCACAGTATTTCATTTTGATAGTTTCTACTACCATGTATTCAAGTTCATTAATCTTATCTTCTGCAGCATCTAGTCTGGTATTAATTCCATCCAATGTATTTTTTATTGTGGTTTACATCTCTAGAAGTTCAATCAGGATCTTTTAAAAATCTTTCATGTTTGGGGCCGGCCTGGTGGTGCAGTGGTTGAGTGCGCACGTTCCACTTTGGCAGCCCGGGGTTTGCCGGTTCGGATCCCAGGTGCGGACATGGCACAGCTTGGCAAGCCATGCTGTGGTTGGCGTCCCACATATAAAGTAGAGGAAGATAGGCATGGATGTTAGCTCAGGGCCAGTCTCCCTCAGCAAAAAGAGGAGGATAGGCAGCAGTTAGCTCAGGGCTAATCTTCCTCAAAAAAAAAAAAATCTCTCATGTTCAATTTTTCTTCTAATTTCTTCAACATATGAAATTGTTATAATAACTCTTTTAATGTACTTGTCTACTAGTTTTATTATCTGAGTAATTTCTGGACAAGTTTCAATTGATTTTTCTTCTCACTATGGGTCATATTTTTCTGCTGCTTTCTGTATCACATTTTTTTATTGGATGCCAGATTTTGTGAATTTTGCCTTGTTAGGTCCTGGATATTTTTGTATTTCAGTAAATATTCTTGAGCTTTGTTCTGGGATGCAACTAGTTTACTTAGAAACAGTTTGCTCCTTTCAAGGCTTACTTTTTTAAGCTTTATTAGGTAGAACATGGGCAGCTTCTAGTCTGGGCATAAGTTCTCCCCACCACTGAGGAAAAGCCTTCAGCAGAATTTGCCCCATGCCCCATGAATTATGAGGTTTTCCAGGTCAGCTGGAGGGAACAGCTGTGTGAGCTCCAGAGATTGTTTGCTTTTCTCCTTTCAAATGGTTCTTTTCCCACCTCAGGGTTTCCTCACACACGTGTGCTGATCAATCCTAAGCTGACTGTCACAGGAAACCCTCTGAAGATTCCAGAGCTCTCTCTCCTATCTTGTGCTCTGTCCTGCAAACTATCTGCCTTGGCCTCTGTGGACTCTCCACTCTGCTCCCTCAGCTCACGGAGACAGCGGGGCTCAGCCTGAGTTCCTCCTGGCTGAAGCCTGGAAACCCTGCAGGCAATACGCTGGGGCAAACGCAGAGCTCACCCAGCTTTTTTTAGTCCTTCGGGGATTGCTGTCCTGTGCTGCCTGATGGCTGATGTTCAAATATCATTGTTTCATATGTTCTGCCAAGTTCTTTTGTTGTTGTTAAACATGGGAGGGTATACAGCAAAGGCATCCATCAACAAAATGAAAAGGCAATCTATGGAATGGGAGAAAATATTTGCAAATCATACATCTGATAAGGGGTTCACTTCTAAAATATATAAACAACTCATACAACTGAATAGAAAAAAACACAATCTACTTTAAAAATGGGCAGAGGGAGCCAGCCCCAGTGACCTAGTGGTTAAGTTCTGTGCACTCTGCTTCGATGGCTTGGGTTCAGTCCCCTGGCGCAGACCTACACCTCTTGTCTATCAGTGGCCATTGTATGTGGGGGCAGCTCACATACAAAATAGAGGAAGATTGGCAACAGATGTTACCTCAGGGTGAATCTTCCTCAGGAAAAAAAAAGGCAGAGGATCTGAATAGACATTTTTCCAAACAAGACACGCAAATGGCCAATAGGTACATGAAAGTATACCATACTACACAAAGCCATCCATAGATTCAATGCAATCCCTATTAAGATCCCAATGGCAATTTTTACAGAAGTCGAAAAAACAATCCAAAAATTATTTGGAACCACGAAAGACCCCAAATAGCCAAAGCAATCCTGAGAAAGAAGAACAAAGAGGGCGGCATCATACTTCCCGATTTCAAGCTATGCTATAAATCTATAGTAATCAAAACAGTATGGTACTGACATAAAAACAGACACATGGACCAATGGAACGAATCGAGAACCCAGAAATAAACCCATGCATATACGGTCAACTAATATTTGGCAAGGGAGCCAAGAATACCTAATGGAAAAAAGACAGTCTCTTCAATAAATGGTGCTTGGAAAACTGGATATTCACATGTAAAAGAATGAAAGTTGACCCGTATCTTACACCACTTATAAAAATTAACTCGAAATGGATTAAAGACTTAAATGTAAGACCTGAAGCCATAAAACTCCTAGAAGAAAACCTGGGAAAAAAGCTCCTTGACATAGGTATTGGCAATGATCTTTTGGATATGACACCTAAAGCACAAGCAACAACAAAAAATAAACAAGTGGGACCATGTAAAACTAAACAGCTTCTGCACAGCAAATGAAACCATTAAGAAAGCGAAAAGACAACCTATGAAATTGGAAAAAGAATTAATACAACTCAATACCAAAAGAAGAACAAATAATCCAATTAAAAATGGGCAAAGGACCTGAATAGACATTTTCCCAAAGAAGACATATGAATGGCCAACAGGAACATGAAAAGGTGCTCAGCATCTCGTCATTAGGAAAATGCAATCAAAACCACAGTGAGATATCACCTCATGCCTGGTAG